TAACTACTACGGTAAAGGTTAAGTTTAAGTTTAAGTTAAACTTAACTTAACTTAGTATTATACTCGACACTACAGATAGTAGTAGTATAGTATATACTATCTCTCTCTCTCTCTCTCTCTCTCTCTCTCTCTCTCTCTCTCTNTATATATATATATATATATATATATTGAGTTCCAGAAATAGAGCATCTCGCAACACATTATCTAGACCGTCAATTTACAAGATTTTCATATGTTTATAGATCTACTTGATTTTAACCATTTTTGTAGTTCAAAATTTTATAATTACATATGAAAATAGATTTTCAAATAATCTTATTACTTGTTATGATAAAATTTGAAGGTGCACCTTAATTGGATTGTTTAAGGTTACAACCTTATAGAAACCGCACCCTTAATTAATTTTTTATTTTTTTTTTGAGTCTTGCCTATTTTCAAGCTTTTGCTTTCATTTTATGTCCTTAAAAAGGATTTCTCAGGAAAAAGGTAGACCGTGAACTTCTGTAGAAGAACCCCAAGAGTAAGGATAGCAACGGGCCAGGACAGCCGTGGCCCTGGCCTGGCTCTTATATTTATAGTGCCGGGCTGGGCTAAGCCAAACCAAGCCGAACTGGCCTTGGCCCGGCCGTTTGTGGCCGAGGCCCTACTTTTGTTTTGGGCTTGCCGCCCTACCAGATTTCCCACCAGGGAGTTTCAACTTTACGAAACCAGCCAAACTGCCATGTTCTGTTCATGTGTACAGAATTTGTGCTTCAATTATTGAAATTTTGAGGGCCCACCTTCTTACAGTTGTCTGTGGACCCTCATGTTTCAAAAGTATTTGCCAAAGGAAAATGTATCATTCCTTTTTTCCACCGTCCATTTGAATGAAAGTCGAATCTCATCCTTTCGAGATGGAGTCCACTTTCAAGAGACGTAGTGATTTTGGAAATGGCCACGGCCGCAAACTTCTGTAACCTTTAATAAACCATAGTACATGACTCCCACGTTTAAATATAAAGTAAAAAACAATGACTAAAATAAGACTGCCGCGGGAGTAGAATGCAAGTTTACTCCCTCGGATAAAACCCCATCTAGAGTTAATTTCGGGACCTTAAATTTGGAGATGTAACAACTTCAACTTATAAATTACCTTTAATAAAAAAACATTTCCTAATTGTACCCTTTATGAAAGAAATAATGTTTTGAGATTGAATAAAAGACTATCCATTTATTTTTTAAATGGTGCGATCCAAGTGTTAGCAAACTTGAATTTAAATTTTTTTTTGGAGAATATTGATCTAGTAATTCATAAGTGATTACAACATATCGTAAAAAAATCCTCCCAGGTAAACCTTTGAACTGGGGGAGTAGAGCTACACTATTCTGCTTTTTCTTTTTTTATTCACCCACTCATTATTTGTTTAGGTTTTTCATTTTTTACTCTCTTTTTTTAATATTTGTTAAGGTTTTGATCATATAGACCTTAGGCAGCCGTTGTGATCTCTCTCTCTCATGTGTGTAATAATGACCGTTGAGGCCATGTGCCACCCTAAACAAAGTGAGGAACATTGAACCTTGTAAATGTTTTTCTTAATCTTGTCCCCTATGATTCTTAGAAAAAAGTGAGAGAAGATGGTTAAAAAAACCATGTATTGTTATTCAAGTATCACAATCACCTTCAACTTTTCCTTTATTCCTACAATTGACAACTATGCACTTTCCTTTTGAAATAATCTCTTTCCTTTCTCAAACTTGCTATCATATCTCCAATTGCTTGCAAAAGAACTTCTCAAAAGAGAAACAATGGTTATCAGGCATTAGATGTCCAACTAGATTAATGTAGTTTCATCAAGAATTCTTACAGAGTATCTCTTGTACTAGGACTTTCCGCTTTTGTAAATAGAGCAGAATGATGGATCAGGATTTGCCGATCTCAATTAATTGAAAAAAAAGCTATCATGATAATAATGATATAACTTATAGATGTATATACATATGTAATTGATGGATATATATGATACATACATACGTACATACATATATACACATGTATCTATACCATGCATTTGTGTTTACTGAAATATCCAAAGACATCATACATGTCTGTATGCATTAAAATTTACAGTTTTGATAAAGAGAAGAGCAAAAATTACCATTGCAATGACGTCTCTAGTTGCCAAGGCTAAGATATCCGCACATGACACCTTGTTTTTGCACTGAAGCACTTTGTCGACCTCCGCCTTCGCCTTTATCACAGTGTCGAATCCATCTCCAGCCAGGGACATATTGTCCTCATGGTCCTTCTCTGCAGTGTTGCCCCCTGCAGATGCGATCATTACCGATGCATCGCACCCCTGAATTGCAATTCACAAAGAGAAAGAGAATCACTTCTTGGAGCTCATCATGAATTTCCGAGAAAAGGAAAAGCAATTTACCATAACTACTTTGAGTCAGAAGAAAGAAATTTTGATTGGATTTGAGGAGTTTTCAAGCTCGAGCTTGATTGCTCAAGGCATTGACAAGTGAGACATTGCATCTCAAGTTCGATTCCCTGAAGTACCAAAAAGGATTTCATTCGATGTATGGAATTTATACCTGAACGAAGCAGTCGTGGAAGAAGAGACGGAGGGTGGCCGGAATGGTGACAAAGGTCTGCTTGATTTTGTTGGCAACGACATTCCGAACGATGCTTTCCACATTAGGGCAAATTTTGGCATAGAAATTCTGGCTGAGCTGAGCATTTGCAGTGCTCGAAAAGCAAAGGATGAGACACAGAGAGAGGAGGAGGAGGAGGAATGGGGATTTGGCCGCCATTGATGAGTAGGGAAAAACTTCACTTTATGGATGCTCTCTTTGGAACCGTGGAGCATACATTGTGGGGAACTGTGTATATATATTCATATATTATGAAAATTCACAAAACAATGGCAGTCATCAATTTATTTAGTAGCATTTACCGGGTACATCTGACTAGTATGTCCATGGCGGCTTTCTTAATGTGAATAGGAAAATGAGGAATTGGCCAAAAGAAATTCAAACTCTCTCTCTCTCCAAATTTAATGTGGAATTGGCAAAACTACCCTTGGGGGTGTCATGAAAATTTTAATGGTGTACATTAGAGAAAAGGGATTGTATGCAAGGGATTATATGCAATGAGATAAGTTACTTTTAGTATAGAGAGGTCACAATTACTTACAATCATCCAATATAAAATTTGATAACTTGAGGGTATCATAAAGTTTGAAAAAAATTCTTTTGAATTTCGACTTTGGTCAATGAAATAAATGCAACCACCAAATTTCACATTCGATAGTCAAAATGAATTGTGACCACCTTCTACCAAAGATAAATATGATGTCATTATATACTTTTCCTAACGAAAATATCACTGGGATGTTGAGAAATTCAATCTCTCTCTCTCATATACATTGATTCATGCATGCTCTCCTATTGAGATGCAAGAGCCATCATGGTGCACAATGCCTCAAATTAGCTTGTGGATTCCATCCAAAGTCCCCCCAAATCAACACCTGAAATGACCATAGTTGTCTGGCAACAAAAAAAGATTCAAGCACACTTAAGCTGAATTTGACTCTAGGAAATAAACAAATTGAACCAATACAACTAATGAAGTGACATGCTTTCCCCATTTAGCCCAAAGAAGGACACGGTCTAGTAGGTAGCAACGATGATTTAAAACCCGGTAATTTCCGATCTAGAGTGTCGATGTGGATGCGAAATCATTCTAGACCGAGCCAATTCTAGAGTGATATGTGTCCAGACCAGTTCTTCGCTAAAACTGCCTCTTTCATTCTTGTTTTCTATAACCTTATTTAGTGTTGTCCTTTGATCCCTCTAAATCTCTACCCCACAAACATCTATTTAATTTTTTTCATTTACCTTTTTTGGACCACTAATCCAAACAATCTGTAAAATGATCCGGATCATAAATCCAATTGATCCAGATCGAGATCACGGGTGGACAATCCAATTTTTTATCAAAGCATTTGGAAGCAAAGAGTCATTTTCAAATGAGCAGGGTTTGAGTTTTCACCTGCCAGGCCAAACAAATTTTTAGCCTTGTACATTGAGTAGTTATTTAGTCACGCGCATGTGAAAATGATATTTGTCCTTTTGGGCATAATAAGCTTGACTAAGCCAGTCTGTCTAGAATCTTTTACAGCTATGATTGAGAAATCTTCAAAATTAAAGGAGGAAATTGGTTTGATAGGGCTGCAGCCCTATCAGACAAAGTAATGCCTAACCTCATAATTCATCAAAAATTACAATTCAAGGATCGGAAAACCTTTATATCGATCATCTCGGCTTGAACATTACAATAATGAAAAAAAAAATGGATTTAAGCTCTAAAGTTATGTATATTATAATAACTTATCTAGACTGTCCATTTCACCCTAAAAATAAATATTTATTGATCCGTAAGATCTGGACTATTTTTTGAGTTTCAAATTTTATAGTTGGTATTGAAAATTGATTTTAGATCCATCTGATTTCTATTGTCAAAAGTACTTTTCGAACGAAAATTTTAGGTGAAACTTTAGTTTGTTTTCATAAAACCTAGGCCTTATAAAAACTTCATCCTTTAAATAATCGTAAAGGCTAAGGTCTCACGTCTTAGTTTAATGAATACATGACCTATTACTTGGGGGGAGTAATTGTCTCTTTCTCATGTGGCCCTTCATTTTACAATCACAAACCGGGATCTAATGGAACGTGCCATGCAGATAGGACGTGGGAATTGGTCAAAGCCTCATCCTTTCAATTATTGATATTTTCTTATTAAAAGAATTATCAAAATAGATCAAAAACTCAACATAATTCCAAAATACTCATCAAAACATACATGTACATGAGTTGGCCTTGTCGAAAGAGAATAAATTATTAAGTTATTAAAACTTTAGATCTACTATGGTAATTTTCTCTTATTACCATTATCAGCGGTAATAGTTTATGTAATATTAATACATAAAACAATTGGTGGTCTCGGCAAATAATTTATTTATTTTTTTGCATAGGTGACCGTTAGCGATCAGATTTGAAATGTAGCATTGTTAAGACATACCAAAAAAAAAAAATGTAGCATTGCTAAATAAACTGTTAACTACTTATGCCCAAGCCCAATTTTTAGAGTAATTAAGTGAGAATAGGTCGCCTACCTATAATCGGAATAAAACTCAAGACGTCGTGTTGTAGCATTCCTCTATCCTAATCACCTCGTGCCCCTTTTTGTCTTGCCAAAACAGTCTCCAACATTTGATCCCTAACCCAAAATCATGAGGAAACTTTCTTATCTTAATTCTCACTCAAAAATCCAACTATTTATCTTAGGACAATCATATCTAGCTATCTAAAAGTAAAATTGTTCTTTTTTTTCTTTTCTTTTCTTTGTTTGGGTTAAATTATTTACAAGGTGTATAACATATGATTTGAAAATAACAAAAGAATGCCCTATGTGTTATGGGTGGGGGACCATGACCATCAAGTGCTCTCACAGGACCACCCTTGCATGGCCGATGATTGTTACTTTACATTTAGACGGACAATCACATGTAGCAAACTAAAAGTAAAAATTATGCTTGTTTTTTTTTTGGATTAATTTGTTTACAATGTGGATGGCATATGATTTGAAAATGACAAAAGAATCCCTCACGTGTTTTGGTCATAGGACCACCCTTGCATCGCCTATCATTGTTACTTTTTACATATCTAAATGTATACGAAAGTAAGAGGCGGCGACCTGGCCTCTCGCCCTTGCGATCTTTGAATCCATTGGAACACCGTACAAACATCGGCGGCCGCAAACCAAGGGCAACTCACTTTTTTTTTTTTTTTATATTTTTGGGAAAAATTACATAAATATCAATTATAGTTTTCATTGTCCCCAAAATATCAAATAGTTTTTGTTATTATTCGCATGTATGCTTTTTTACTTCATAACAAATTTTTTTTTAAAAAAGACAGTTTTACCCTCTTGCAGTCTTTGAATAACCAAAATGGCTGGAATTTAGTTTTTTCAAAAATCGAAAATTTAAAATTTTCAGATTTAAAAAAACCGAAAATTAAAACATTCTGGTTTTTGAATAACCGATAATTTTCCTGTGAAAAAACCCAACTTAACCCCATCATATGAGCATAAAGGAGCATTTTTCTTGATATTTTAGGGTTCTAAAAAATTTGTGTCCCCCTATACAATATCCTACGAACTTTTCTGTCGCCCAATACAATATCTCACAAAGTTGAAGAGATTGACTCTCAGTCTGGTTGTGATTGGTACTTTTCTTACTCGTGCCTTATACTGTTGATTAATTTATATGTATAATTATTTGTTGTTTATTTTGTGTTTGTATTAATATTTATTATTTTGGGTAGTTTATTGAACAATCAATTTATTTGGTAGTACATTATTGATAGATATAGTAGTACACTATATTGTATTTATTGTTTTGGGTAAACATTTTTCAACTTGTTTGTCTTCATTAATATTTTTTTTTTATTTTGTGTTTGTCTTAATATTTGTTGTTTTTTGTTGTTTATTGAATAATTGATTTTTTTAGTAGGACACTATTTAGATCTATTATGTAAAACTCACATCTTATGAACCGTAAATTAGTTAGATATATCCAAATTTTTATATTTTTTATTATATTGATTTTCTATAGTATGAATTTTGGTATTCATTTAATATAGTAGTATTGGCGATGGTTACCGAGGGAGTACAACTGGGATTTCGATATGGGGGGTCATTTTAGACGAATCCAGATGATGGACGTGTTGTTTATAAAAAAGGGAAATTAAATGTTATGAAATATAATGGAAATAGTTCATTGGATGAACTAAAAAGTCATTTTGGAAATTTAACATCGTGTGATCCAAACAAATTGACTATTATTTACTACAACAAAAGTCAATCTAGTGGCCTTGAATTGATTGATATAAGTGATGATATAGATGTATCTTTTAAGTTGAGAGGGGAGTCTTCGAGTATTGTTGTATACATTGCCTCTACAATAGAGCCAAAGCAGATATTTATGGAATTTCGAATGATAAAACCTGATGGTGATGACCCATCTTCATGGAATGGGTACATCTATAATTTATATTTTCATCTTTAATTTGCTATATTTAAATATTTTATGTGCACAAATTGTTGCTTCATCTTACACTCTATTTTTTGTCAACAGTCAGCATAACGCTCTGTTACCTAATCAAGATGAGAACATTCAAGTGGTGCCCGAGCATGAGCTTTTAACACAACGTGATAGAGGATTTTGAACCATTTGAGAGCCCATGTGAAGGAGTTAGTAACAAGGTTCAATTGAAACTTGGGCAATTTTTTGAAAATGTCAATGAATGCTCGCATCATCTATTCGATTTTGCTATTTACAATAATTTTGTTTTGAAGTTTGACAAATGCGAAGGGGAGTGGGTGTGGACAAGTTGTAAGTCAGAGGGATTTACATGGAAAGTGTGATGCCTACGAGTTAACAATACAATATACTTCAAAGTGAAATCCATGGTTAAGGAGAACACATGTAGTGGTCCAATGGGGAGGGTCCATCAGCCACCAGCTCGTAGTGATTGGGTGACAAAAAAAATTAAACCTCGCATTAATGACCAACCAAAAATTAAAGTATAAGACATCATAAAGGATGTCCAAAGCGATCACCGTGTCAGGCTTTCCTACGTGCAAGCTTGGCAGGGAAAAGAGGTTGCTAGAAAAATGATAGATGGATCACATGAACAACAATACAATGACCTCCCCTTATACATAGGGAAGCTCCGAAGAACCAACCCTAGAATCCAAGTTCGCATCCATACAGATGAAGGCAGGTTCAAATGACTGTTTATTGTTTTTCATCCATGCATCATGGGTTTTGTTAATAGATACGGGACATTAATGGGTATTGATAGGACATTCTTAAAAGAAAACTATCAAGGC